AGTTTGTATGATTTAAAACAAGCTTCACGATAGTGGTATAAGAAGTTCGATTCTTTTATAGTGAGTCACAGTTATAAAAAAATGACAGCAGATCCTTGTGTGTATATCAAAAATTTTTTTAATGATAACTTCATTATCCTTTTATTATATGTTGATGATATGTTAATTATGGAACAAGATGCTGGTATAGTTTACAGGTTAAAAGAATAATTGTCTAAGTCTTTTGACATGAAAATTTAGGTCTAGCAAAGCAGATTCTTGGTATATATATTATCCAAAAAAAATAGCTAAAAAGCTGTGATTATCACAAAAAAAATATGTTGAATGAGTGCTTAGTATATTCAACATGCAACATACTAAATCAGTTAGTAATCCACTTACTACCATTTTTATTTGAGTAAGAAATCTTATCCAATTTTTAAGGAAGAGCAACTAGCTATGTCTAGTATTCCTTATTCTTCTACAAGTAATTTTTTAATGTATTTTATGATTTGTATACGGCCTGACATTGCTCATGCAATTGGTTTAGTAAGTAAATTTCTTTCTAATCAAGGAAAGATTCACTGGGAAGCAATGAAGTAGATTTTTAGATATTTGAGGGGCATTTAAAAAATTTGCTGAAATTATGGAGTTTCACAACCAATTTTAGAAGATTTTACTGATACTAACATGACAGATGATCTTGATGGTAGAAAATCTATTTCAGGATATTTGTTTATTTTTGTAGGAAGAGTTGTGTCTTGACAGTTTAAGTTATAAAAGTGTGTTACTTTATCAACTACAGAGGTTGAGTATATTGTAACAATCGAAGCAGGTAAAGAAATACTTTAAATGAAATTTTTTTTCTTGAATTGAGGTTAAATAAGAAAGAATATGTGATATTTTGTGATAGTCAGAGTGCTTTAGATTTGAGAAAGAATGTCATGTACCATATTAGAACAAAGCACATTGATGTTAGATATCATTGGTTACATTCAGTGATTGAGAAATAACAAATGTTATTGAAGAAAATCCATACTAATGAGAATGTAACAGATATGTTGACTAAGATACTTTTCAAGAAGAAGCTTGAGCTCTGCAGTAACTTAGTCGGAATGAGTTTTTTAGCTAAGATAAGTTCTAAATGAAATTGTTATGGTGATGAATCTCCTCCTAATAGGGCTGAAAGAGGAGATTGTTAGAAAAATAGGGTCTAATCTCATGTAATTGATTTTGAACCAATCAAAGGCCTTGGGCCTTGGTCTTTCTTTTTATACAGTGCCATAGGTACTTAATAAAAAGAGGTGGAGCTGTTATAAGGTGGTGTCAAAAATCAATTAGAAAAAAAAAGTTAGGAAAAATAGGGAGAAAAAATAGAAGGGAGAGTTAGTTGAACAAAAGTCGACTCGTGATCTAATTGAGATAAAACTTTGTCAGCAAGTTTATGATTCAGAGTTCTACATTTTGTACAGTAGAGATTAGGTTTGAAGATCTCTAGGAACAAATCCAATGTGTATTTGTTGAGTCACCTATTTGATGAGATTTCTTCAATTGTCTCCTAGATGTTGATTAGCTCTAGTTTTAGCTAAAGAAGAACTTTGTATATCCATTAGTTGATAGTGGAAATTTTTCTGGTGGTACATAATTTTTTTCTTTACACTGAAGGGTTTTTCACGTAAATCTTGATATGCTTTTATTTTTTTTTTTTTGTATTGTTGATTGTTAATTGTTATTTATTATTGTGGGTTATTGTGATAAATTGCTTTTGCGTTGTTGTGTTTATTGTTTTAGGCCCAACATAAGTTTCATGACATAGTGGGGTTAACTCCAAAAATGCAACAGCTAAAGCCCCCACTTCACACGAATTGCACCTTTTTTCTTAGTTGTTTCTACTTCACAACCCCACACATATATATAATTGCAAATTTTTAACATTATCTTGTTCCTCAATGATCTATTGTTAATGTTATATTACTAGTAATCAGCAGGGGAAGAAAATGATTCAGGACATTATAATTATTGGGTTAATAGATTGGATCTGAGTTCTGAAAATTGTTGGCTTGAAAACTCCAAAATACAACATGACATGTAATAGTGTTGGAACAAATGAGAAAAAACTCAAATATACCATAAAATAATGATGTTGTCATAATGTTTACATCTACATCTGATTCTGGATATTGCACCATCTTTTTTTTTAATTTTAATACATTATCAGTAAATTAAATAATAATAATTCACTAATAAGATGAATAAAATAATAACACTTCATTAATGAGTAAATTTTTTTAAAAATTTTAATTTATATATATTTATTTTTAAAATTAATATTTATTTATTAATAAAATATCGAATTTACTAACAGTATATCAAATATAAACTCTTATTATTAACTTTTTGTACATTGTGGACCATGGTCTAATTTAATGTCGACATTATTTGTTTGTTATGTGAAATGTTGAAAGGTAATGGTATGATGGCATGTCAAATCCATTAATACGGGTATGTTAACAATAAATGTGTCATGTGTACGTTGCACTAAACCTTGATATATTTTTCCGGTATTAAAAAAATAGACTTGTTTTTATGTGTGTACATTACTTAAACATTATAAATATATACTCCTATATTTTAGCATTTTTCAGAAAATAAAAAATTACGTTTGTTCAAATGGAAATTGACGTGAGTCGTATCATGCATGCCCTGAAAACAAAAGGTAATGGCCCGACCAAGATTCAGTAAATAAATGAAATGAGGAATGTTTGTGGCAGTCACCCAACAACCGTACGTCTTTAAACACTCATAAATCTGAAAAGTCGCGTTACTTATTACAGTCAAAAACCTATTATCTGCATGAGAAGTCTCGGCTTTAGTTACTGTATCAACGAATCTTGGCTTCCACTAAAGTATTTTTATAAAGATAAATAAGCAAAATTTTGATTTTAAATTTTATGAATAAAAAATAAATTTAAAAAAATTTATTTTTTTATGTAGTTCAATTCAACTTAATTTTGAATTAGTTAAAATTTAAAGTGACTTTCGGACATCAAAAAATTTCAAATAAAAAAAAATTAAACAATTTGAAATATAACACAATGATATGTTACAAATAAATGATACAAAAATAATATAGCTTAAAATTTTAAAAAAATTAAAAATAAGTTTAATAAAATCAATAAATTATATTTTATATTTTTGTATCGATACGAATTATGACACATAATTTTTATATAAAACACGATACGAATATAATATTTTGCATGATACGATGACACGAATTATCAGATCTAGATTAAAGTATCCTTATGTTACAGTGGTCAGATATTTTAAAAATATATATCATTATAATGTTTTTTAATTTATTTTTTATAAGTAATTTGATCTTAAAACTTTTTTAAAAATTTTATTACATAGAAAATTGAATACAATGCTTCAATTTTTTTCAATTGTTGAAAAACTTTTTTATGGATTCAAAATTTTCAATATATTCCATTAATTAAAATAAAAAAATTAAGCACAACCAACCTAAGTTCAAAATTACCAAAAAAAAAAAAAAAAACAACACCCATTAAATTCAAATTCAAATTTCAGAATATCTTAGTGTCAATTATGTATAAAATGCAATCATGAAAAAATATATAATTTTATGGTGTCATTAAAAAATGAAAAATATGCTCTTATGCTATCACTTAAACTTTCCACATATATATAAAAAAACTTGTATTAAATTGTAGTGAAATAAATAATAGATTAACAAGTAACAAAAAAATTGAAAAAAAAATCTAATTGATGCATCCTCCAAACTCTATTACTAGTACTTCATTTTAAAATATATCCAATAATTAGGTGTACTAACTTTAGGAAGAAGCTAAAATTACAAAAATAATACTTCTTAAAAAAATTGTTTGAGACCTATAAGTAAATATTATTAAATCAATAAAAATTTAGAATTTTTTAAATATCTACTTATAATATATATATATATAGAAAACTATGATAAATTTACTAATCATCAACAAAAGATAATTCCTTAAATTTTATCCTTTTATTTAAATCATCTTTTATATTTTTATTACATTCAAATAAATTTTTAAACTTTAATTTTTATCTAAATAAGTCTTTATCATTTAATTTGTATTTAAATAAATTTAATTAATTTATAACTAAATAAATTCTTACAATAAATAAATCTTTTGACTCAAAAAATGTATTTGAATATAAATAAAAAACAAAAAATTATTTAAAATATTAAAATAATTCAATGATTTTTTAAAATATTTTTAATAAAAATATTTAAATAAAAGAACATGTTTAACATGTTTTGTCGTTTATTTCTGACACTTTGACTTTTTTACTGTTTACACATGAAGCCATACGACTTGCATTATTATCGGTTTTGTGCTGAAAAATTGAATGATGTATCTTCTTAAAATCTCGAGTATTTAAATGCGGTTGATGGGCGATTCTCCCAGAAAAAAAATTTACATTAGGTTTTATAAGTAAATTTATAAAAATTTTTATTAAAAATAAATAAATAAAAATTAAAAAATCTCTTCACATAAATTAAATATATAAATTTTAAATAAATTTCAATATATTTATTAAGTGAATATTTCTAATAAAAATATTGATAAAACTTTTATAATTAAAAAATATTGATTAAATTTAAAATATAAATAATATTTTAAATAATTTTTTTACATATTATTAGTATTTATATTAAATTATCAAACTACTCATTCAAAATTTTTATTAAAATTTTATTTATTTATTTATAATAAAAAATTTCGCAAACTCGACTTATTAAATTTCTTGTCCCCTAACACTCCCCATTGCAACGAAGAACAACAACAATTTCTCATTGACGTGATCTTGTTATGGACAATAATTTCCGTGTCCAACACTCTACATCACGAATATCTACAAAAAAAACAAACACCCTCAACTTTTCGACGCTCACATTTTTTTTTCCTTTTAATTTACGCGAAATCATTCCCAAAATTCCACCTGAGTCCCTGTAAATGATTTGATCAGTATTTAAAAGATCCGCTTTTCCCTGTCTTTAACACAGACATAAAAATCAAAAGGAAAATCCCTTCTCTGTTTTCTCACTTCCTCCTTCTTCATCCCTTCAAAGGTACATTTTCATTATATTCTTCCATTTAAAGCCAGATTTCTTTGCTTCTGTAAATCGAGCTTTTCGTTTCGTTTTTCTGTCGTTCTTTTTTATGATTGTTGTTTCGTTGATGGTTATCTAAGGTCGTTTCAAACGATAAAGAGAGAGCGTTTTCCATTTATTTCATCATGTAATGCCTTCTTTATTATTTTTTATTTGTTTTAATTTTTTTAAAGTTTTTCGTTACTTTTTTTTTGGCTCTGTTTGGTTGCTGAGAAAATAACCAAAATAAAAGAACGAAGTTCGATTTATTCTTCTGCGTCATTCAATTTCGAATCGTTACATTTCGCTAGTAAACGATTTCGAGTATTTTAGTTTTGATTTTTCTTTTCTTGAGTTTTCTTGGTAACCAAATAGAGTGTAAGCTTTGATTTTTTTGTCTTTTTTTTTTTTTTTTATCAAATCCTCATATATGATTAGAAGTAGCAGAGTTACTTTGTTAATTATTGCATTTATATATACTGTTACAACAACAAAACTGCCAGTGACGACAAAGTTTCGCTTGCATAATTGACTCATTTTTTTTTTTTGTTTTTAGTCAGCAATAACTAATAACCACAAACATATAGTGGCTTTTCAAAGTATGACTTCACACAACTTCTATTTATCAATTGTTAATATTAGGAGGCAGTTTATAGTTTGGTTTAATGAGAAAGATTAAGTTTTAAATCTTATGGGAAATTAATTAAAATGAAAATTATAGTTTTCGTGAATCGGCTGCTAAGCTGGCATTGGTCTTAATCTTGTTTTACGAGGCAATGAGGTATTTAGATTTTATCCAATAGGAATATTTATTGCTTTGGAATAATCTGGCAAAGCTGTGGTCCATGACATGTAGGTTTTCCTTCCCTTTTTTACGCATGACATAATCTAGGATTTGGTATAAAGAAAAATGTAGTATCATATTTTCATTTTTTTTGTTTTTCAAGAAATCTGTTCCAAAAATTATTTACTTGAAAAATTAGAGTTTAGTTTAATGGCAAAATTGTGAATATTAGGACTGTAAGAGTATACTCTGATTTAATCATTAAAATGTGTAATCTGTCCTCTTTCATTTGATGCTTCAATTGTCAAAGATGATTAGATGAATAATCCAGCATTTTGAAGTCTTTAACTGTCTAACTTCAGGAATATTTTAATTTATGGATTTTAGTAAATGATGTTTGATTCATGGATATTTTGTTTTTTCACTCCAACTGGTGTGTCTAATATTCAAGCAGTAATGCTTAATTGCATTTGAAAGAGTTTACTTCGTTTAAAGTGTTGATACTTCAGCCTTACATTAGAAGAAATGCATTACAACCTGAAAATGCTTGAAAATGTCAAAGTTTTAGTTGGCAGGGAGACTGCTGGTTCAGTGATAACCGTACAAGCAGAAAAGGCATAATTATTAGTGTATTATTTTCTTTTACCTAGCTAGCTTCTAGTTTCAAACTTCTTCTCCTGTATTCTACTTTATATTGCTAAGATCACTGCATATGTTGTATAATTTTTCTGACAGCCTTCTGTTAACCTTTACTTCATTTATTTGCAGTGAGAGATGGTTGCCTTTGGGAAGAAGTTGAAGGAAAGACAAATTCAGGAATGGCAAGGGTATGCTTGATATATTCTTATTTTTGTGTATATTGCTCTTAAACCATTTCCTATGTATTATGTGTTTTTATAGTTTTCCTCTATGCTTTTTGATTGTGCAACAGTCTGGTAAATGCAGTTTAATATATCTTATTATGACATCTTTCAATGAATTTATTGTGCAACATGGTGCTTGATTTGCTACTATCAATCTCATGTAAGCTTGAAGAATTTACGTGCTTCTGTATATATAATTTAGTAACTCTTTTATTGTCTTTAGTCAAGATTAATCTTACAGTTTTTCTTTCCTAGTACAAACCAGACCATAAATGTGTGTGTGAGAGAGAGATTGTTATGCATGTTGACTAACTTGAATGTTATTAGTGGTGAGGCAATATCTTATCATGTGGTCATCTTTTAATTATTTTGCAGATATTACATTAACTACAAATTAATGAAGAAGAAAGTCAAACAGTATGCTCATCAAATTGAAGTTGGGACACAAGATCGTCGACATGTTCTCAAGGATTTCTCAAGAATGCTGGATAATCAGGTATTTTGAAAAATGAGCTTCAGGGTATCTGCATCTACTTTTTCATTGAAACCAAATACGGAAGGCTTCAGTAATAGTGTATATTATGGACAACCATTATAAACGTACTGATATTATGCTTTGCAAATCTATTTTTTTAACTTATTTTTACTAGAAATTCTTTAGAGTTGCTCCTCTTCCTATTCATTTCTTTTGAGTATGGCAAAAAGTAAAAAAAAAAAAAAAAAAACCCTTAAACAAAAATTCAATAGTCATTCAAGCTCTTACTGTTTTATTGCAATCAATTAAATTCTTAAAATAACTATTTTCATTAATTGGTCTTTTATTAGATAAAAATTGGTTAATTGTCAATACCCATTTCTAGCCAATCAAGAGCTCAATTGAGGTGGAAATAAATATTTAAGAATTCAACTGATCTGAAATAAAAAATTCAAGACTTGATTGATTGTAATAAAATGTCAAGAGTTTAAATGATGATTTAATTTTTGTTCGAGGGCTTTTTTGATCTTTTTTCCTTTTAGTATTTATGGATTGTTAAAGGGAAGAGGGTAGATATTGAAAGTACAGGGGTTAGAATATAGTTATGTTAAGGAATTTCTGAAATTTATCCTTTATATTATCTGTCTTTGCCGCTAGTTTCTTCAATCACATTATTGCTTCTTTTTAACTGGTAAAAATTTGCTTTAAAATGCTCCCTGCGAGCAATGAGATGTGTCATTAACCAGGGGAAGTAAAATGTCTTCATATATCTTAAGAGATTTTGTAATTGATCTTAAAGTTAGTGGTGGTCTTATTAGAGATTTAGGCGACCTTGTGGCTTAAGGACATTTTGTTTTATTTTCATACTTGTTTCCATTAGCACCAGGTGTACCCACTCCCAGGTGAATGCTGGTGTAGTTGGACTTCTTGCATGGCTCACTACCATGAGATAGCATCATGAAAAATGTCTTTCCCAAGGCTGAATCATATATGTTTCACAACTTTGATATATCTAAAATTTCAGATTGAGAAGATTGTCCTTTTCCTGTTGGAGCAACAAGGCCTACTTGCGAGCAGGTTGATAAAGCTTAGAGCACAGCATGATGCTCTTGAAGAGCAGCTAGAAATATCCCAAATAACTGAACTAAGAGAAGCTTATAGAGGAGTGGGACAAGATCTTTTGAAGCTTCTCTATTTTGTTGAAATGAATGCTATTGGTCTGCGAAAGATATTGAAAAAGTTTGATAAACGCTTTCGCTATAGGTTCACCGATTACTATGTCAAAACTCGTGCTAATCATCCTTACTCTCAGCTGCAGCAAGTGTTCAAGCACGTGGTAATCTGTCAAACTCGGGCTTTCCTTTTCCTTTTATTCATTTCTATTTCTATCTTTAATAAGGCTTGTAGATGAGGTTTTTCTATCCAGCTCTTGCTCATATTTAGATCAGATACTGAACATGTAATAGTGGGGCATGTAGAGGAAGTTGTAGCCAGTACCCGGTAAGCTTACTTTCCAGTTGTATAATTTGCAGGGTTTAGGGGCTGTTGTTGGGGCAGTATCTCGTAATCTTCATGAACTTCAGGACCGTCAAGGAAGCTACTTATCAATTTATGATCCACCTGCCCTTCCTCTCCAGGTTTTTCCTATATGTACTTCAAATTATTTTTCATTTTCTTCCTCTGCAAAAAAAAAATGTTACTATGGTAATAAAGCTATGGCTATGCTATTTTACTTGGGTCATCTGCAGGATCCTGTAGTTGATTCAATAAAAGCGGCTGTGGATAGGTTAACGAACTCAACGAACTTCCTAAACTTTCTGGCACAACATGCTCTCATTTTGCAAGAAGAGCTACCTGCTCCTATTGAGGAACACGTTGATGAAGAAAGATACCATTTTATGTCACTACTCTTGAACTTAGCAAACACATTCCTTTATATGGTTAATACATATATTATTGTCCCCACAGCAGACAACTACTCCACGAGCCTTGGAGCTGCGGCAACAGTTTGTGGTATTGTTATTGGGGCAATGGCTGTTGCACAGGTGTTTTCTTCAGTGTATTTTAGTGCATGGTCTAATAGATCATACTTCAGACCTCTCGTATTTAGCAGTATTGTCCTTCTTGTGGGAAATACCATGTACGCGATGGCTTATGATCTGAACTCATTAACAGTTCTTCTACTGGGTCGGCTCTTTTGTGGGTGAGTGTTCTTCATTTTTATCTTCTTTTCTTCATGTCAGAACTCAGAAATCACAGTACCTATGGTAATTGGTGTGGCATAGTCATAGTTTAGACATAATCAAAGCTTGTTTTAATCAATGTAGACTGCAGTTTGGTAGAACCTCTTAGTAAATAGTGAATCCTAGGTAACCATTCCAAAATTTCTCTTCTTGGATTTGCTATTTATTATATTATATGTACGGTAAAGCTGAGGCTTATTGGAATATGCAGAGTAGGAATATATAGGATCGGAGAATAAATATGATTTGAGGACCCAAATTGAACTTAACGAATGAATATTATCAGTTTAAGAGAGTAGGAGATATTTCTTTTTTACTTTCTCCATTTAGCTTGTTGAAGTTAATCTTGTCATTGCAGATTTGGTTCTGCTAGAGCTGTTAACCGCCGGTATATCAGTGATTGTGTACCATTAAAAATCCGAATGCAGGCATCAGCTGGCTTTGTTAGTGCCAGTGCTTTGGGGATGGCTTGTGGTCCCGCTCTTGCTGGCATACTTCAGACAAATTTCAGGATTTACAAATTTACCTTTAGTGAAGACACTTTGCCAGGATGGGTTATGGCTGTAGCTTGGCTTGTATATTTGATATGGTTGTGGATCTCATTTAAAGAACCGTCTCGTGATATTCAAGAGAATACTTCACCTCATGCATCTAGTTCTCGTACGTGTTCTTCTATCAATCATCTTTTGGCTTGATATGCTTACGCATATTTGCAATGGCGATTATCTTGCTTGATAAATTGACATATTAAGTAATGCATTAAAATGATTGATTTGCAAGTTCTACCATGTAAATGCAGAAACAGCAGAAAACAATGCACTTGAGAAAGGTCTTAAGCAACCATTGCTCGTTGCTTCAGAAGAGATGCAAGAAGATGATGAAGACCCAGAAGGTGATGGAAGTGAAGAAGCTTCTGAGAAATCTCATCGACCAGCTACATCAATTAAATCAGCTTATAGGTTACGTACACCCTCAGTAAAGGTATAAGATTAATCAAAGGCTGGCTTCAGTTTCCAAAGTTTTATAGATTAGTCAAGTGTGCATCGTAAGTCATTTGCAATATAATAGTAAGCATGCTTAAATGAGAAAAGAGTAGAAATTCAAGATGTTTATGTTCCTATTTTGCTTGTTAAGAAAATGTGACCAGTGGACAGCCGGTGATTAATAAACACATTCCTGATTATCTACTTGTTTTACTTTTGTAACTGAGCTTAGATACTTACAATACATCTCTCGAAGCTTAAATACTTTCAATCTTTGAATGATCTAATACTTGAATTCTTATAATATCATCAGGTTCAGTTGTTGATATATTTCATGCTCAAGTATGCGATGGAAATTTTACTCTCGGAATCCAGTGTCATCACCACATACTACTTCAGCTGGTCTACAAGCACAGTATCCATTTTTCTTGCATGTCTTGGCTTAACAGTTCTTCCAGTAAACATCGTTGTTGGGAGCTTCATTAGCAACATGTTTGAAGACAGGTATTTTTAAAAAACCTGCACCTTTCAGTTTTTAATTTATTATACATAACTTAGTATTCATATCCTTATTGATCTTGAGCTCTGGAATTGTTTGTGTCATGCTTCCATTTTCATCTGTTCATTGCAGGCAAATTTTGTTGGCATCTGAAATTATGGTTTGCATAGGCATACTGCTAAGCTTCCATATAATAATACCGTACACTGTGCCCCAATATGTCTGCTCAGGGCTCATCATGTTTGTTTCCGCTGAAGTACTTGAAGGTAGATATTATTTAATTTCGTTTTGTCGTTGGAATAACAATTAATTTCTGAGAGAGATACAGTGCACAAAGGAGTGCAAACCTTGATGTTGGCATATATAATTTCTTTATTGATCGGGGTTTTGTTCTTCAAACTTTTCCTTGCCATCAGGTGTCAACTTGTCACTGCTTTCTCGGGTAATGTCATCTAGGTTGTCCCGTGGAACCTACAATGGGGGACTACTTTCAACAGAAGCTGGTACTATTGCTCGAGTGATTGCAGACGCCACAATTACACTGGCAGGGTACCTAGGTCAGAGTCGGCTTTTGAATATCACTCTACTTCCTTCACTACTTATATGCCTCTCCTCTATTGTTGCTACATGCTTTACGTACAACTCTTTGTTTTGATCGATTCAAAAAAAAAATCATTTCCCTTCACAATTCCATTTTTTCATATCAATGCTGTATATTGTAAGAAACTTGGGCATCGATTATCCTCTATTATTGTATTTTAATAAAATTTTAGTTCCCTTTTTATTGTGATGGTTTCAAAGTTTTTCGATGAATTTGAGATAAAAAAAAAAAGTTGTCACTATTCTTTCTTAATTAAGTATAATTGATTACCTATTAAAATTTATTTTTTTAATAAAAATTTTAAAATTAATTAAAATTTATTAAAAATATAATTTTAGATGCTTACAAACAGTTTGAATATAAAAGTTAATTACACGTGAAGGATCAACACCTTACAATGTTTGTTAAAAAGATAATATCAATTAATTGTGTGTTATCATTTAATCATGATAAAAATAATCTTAATTTTGATATTTAAAAATAATTTTTTTGATTTCCTTTATTTATCGATTTTTTATTCCTTTTCTATTATTTCTTTGTTATTATTTCATTTTTATTCAAGAAAAATGAATTAGAATCCTTTTATTAAAAATGTTTTACTATATTGGTAACATTTAAAGAAAATTTTCTTCACTTAGATATTTTTTAAGTATCGTTATTCGGAATACTTTAAAATTTTATTTTTGGAGGCTCTTATTTATTTTTTATAAAAACAATGACATGCATGTAATGCGAATGACAATATATTGATGCATACATTTTATTTTTTTTATAAAAAATTTATTGATTTCTTTTAGTTATTATATTTTTTGAAAGAAAAGAGAAATTTTAATTATATTGAAAAATTTTTATAAATATTTTTATACACTGATAATATTTTAAAAAATATTATTATCTGAAAATTTTTTAAAGTATTATTACTTAGAATATTTTAAAATCTCGTCATCAGATAAAATTTTTTATTTTTTAATATTTTTATTTTTGGTTATTTTTTATTTTTCCAAATTTAAAATTATTAAAATTTTAGAAATTATTTTCATTTATTATTATTTATTATTTATTTTAGAAATGGAAGAATTTAAAAAATATCAAAATTTTATTTTTTTCTAATTTTCATTTATTTTTTTATTTTATTTTTAGAAAAGCAACAAACACTTATTTTAGAAATTTTGAATTTTACACATGCATAAATAAATAATAAAGTAAACTAAAAAAGATAACTTAATAAAGAAAATAAGAAAATATAAAAAACAAAATGAAAACATACTTAAACCAATCTGTCTGGGTACAGTTTAGGCAGTCTAGCAGTCTAGACAGGTTCATGGGCAGTCTGAAACGATTTTCACATAATTCAACATTTCAAACCGATTTTTTGATAGTTCAATACCGATTCAATTAAACTAATTTGAGCTAAAAGAGCAAATAGATCATCGGGTTAGGTGTGTGAATCTCCAGTCGAGTCGCGGGTCTACATTTGGATTTTGGGCTTCCCAAACGACCTTATATTGGTTTCTTTTTTTTTTCCTATAAAAGAGTCAAAAAATTTTAATTCATTTCATCCCTTTTGTAGAAAAAAAAGAACTCTCAGCTCAAAAAAAAAATTTTCGAAGCTTCTTACCGCAGCACAAAATCTGTCGTCGTGCTATCGAGCCGACCACCGAGCTTTCATCGTCGGTGAAAAGAGCCCAAAAATTCCAAAATAGCTCCTTTCAACCTCATTGTCCCCATTTTGACGTCTTTTTCACCAAAAACTAGCACCAAAAGCCTAGATCTATTCTTTTAAGTTCCGACCAAAGCCTTTTTTTTTATTATTTCGTTGATTTTTTTTTTTTTTTGTGATGTTGGTGCTAGGTTCATGCTCAAAAGGACTGTGGTTTTTTTTCTGATTATGTTTGGTCGATTTTCCAATGAGCTAAAAGATTGTCTTTTTTTGGTGCTTCTAATTTGACAAAGGCTTTTTTTTTTATAAAATTTCTTCCCCTTTTTTTGGTTGTTTTCTAGCAAAGTTTCCCCTTTTTTTTTTTTATTATTGTGCGCTGTGAAACTCTATTTATAAAGCCTAAAACAAGGGTTTAAACCCATGCTTCCTTATCGTAATCCACACTATAAGGGCAGTTACGATTGGCAATGGACAGGTGTGGTTGGTGGCTAACAATAGACAGGTGGGTTGGCTTAGGCAAGTGGATTGCTAGTGCCATGTACGATATTCACTACCACAGGCTCCTGATTTTCATTTTTTATTTTAAATTTTTTTAATTATTATTATATTATTACCATTTAACAATTAACAAATAAAAATTAAATTAAAGCTAAATAAATAAAAATGGGCCCTCAAATGGACTTTGGGCCCTGGTACAAAAATATTGAAATCAAGCCTTAACCTTAAAAAAACAATAAAACTTGCAGTAAATTTAAAACAGGGATTCAATTTAGAGAATCCAAACAAATTTGATATCTACACTCGTATAGGGACCCAAAATATAGCTGCTTTTGGTTGAATATCTTGCATAGTTGTCGTACTTTGTTTGAAGATAATTTTCCCGCTATCAAAATTGAAAATAAAATGGTCATGGTATGACTTGGATTTAGCTATCTACGGTGCCATTGCCACCAAAACATAGGTCCGTAGAAGCCATTGACAGAGCTGTGGAATACATGAATAATCCTGACCAGGCAGCTTTCAGAGGTGGATTTATCCTAGAAAAAACTATGGCGTCCAATTTCAACAGGCCATTTGGAGCTTCGAACCCCGTAACCCAAAGCATAATCCATCCGTTACCTTCAATTATTCCAAGGATCCTCAAGACCTGCAAAGGTATGTCCAAGGAATTCAAACCATTGAGAATTATTGAATCAAAGCCTTTCTCTAAATTCAGATTCAATAACTTTCTGTCTTAGCCAGTACTTCTCAACATGACAGCAAATGCCCCATTTAAAATTTGTTGCCTAAACATTACAATCCTTCAATGCCACTGGAAATGTTTTGCAAGAACACTGTGATGGCGACATGGCACTATCATGGAGGCTGCCAAGTTGGTAAGGTTGTTGATCTTGACTATAAGGTTCTTGGTGTGGATACTAAGGGTTATCGATGGATCCAAGTTCAACTCTTCGCCGGGGACTAATCCTCAGGCCATTGTCATGATGCTAATGAATTACTAGCCATGCAGTTTTTCTTATAGATATGAGATGCTTCATCGCCAAAATGATCAGTTTTGGCATGAATTATGTTGGTTGATTAATTGACTTTAATTTAATGTGAGAGACTAGCCAATTAAGAGAATCCACATGATTGATGATTGCTTAATTTTCTTTCTTTTGATTAAGAATGATGTTCTTGACTTTTTTTTTTTCACCTGTATGGCCCAAAATGTGAGGTTTAAACAATCGCATTTATGAATTGTTTTCTTTTTTTTTAATGGTTGAAAAAATCTGGATAGATGATTACTTAGTTTTTAAGTCAAACAACATGTATTGTACTTAATAACTTAAGACGTAGTTGGAAACGATTACTAACTGGATTGAAACCAAAGCATTTACATCAAGGAGAATGATCATTTGTCAATTGAGCTAATAAATTATTGATAATTTATGAATTGTTTGACATAGAGAAAATGTTGTGTTTTTTAGCTTTGTAATTGTTTTCGTTCATGGTAATTTGGTTTAGTGATAGCCTATTAAGATTTAGAAGGATCCAAAGAACAGGTATGAACAAAAATTCAACTACATCCCTCTGTGAAAGCAAGCCTATATGTTATACAACTATCTTTTACCTTGTAAAATAGAGGGAGATAGACAAGAAAAATGAGAAAGATGGGAGTTGTTTCACAATATAATCATGTAGAAGACAAAGGGAAATTGTAAATACTTTGTGACATTCTTCTGAGAAAAATTCTCATTGGACAAAGATGATTACAAGGTCACAGAAGCCAGAAAAAATCATTTTAAAGCAAATTAAAACAGAAAAGAATATTACAAAGAATATACCTCTAGGTCCGGGTTTCGCTGTCACCTACGATAGGGAAAAGCTAGGCATATATTTCCTTTTTCTCTTCTTCCCTTCACCTTCCATGCATGGAATTGGACACAGCTGAAAAGAAATATTGAAACATTCATATGTCTAAATCATGCTCAAGTATAGAATCTGTCAAATATCTGTAAGAGACTTTTCTGATAAAAGGAGCCTTTTCCATGAAATGCGTAGAAAGCAGGCACCATAGGATATCCTCGGCATATGCTACGTCTTAAACAACTTATCCCATTGGTAGGGCTCTTAAAGAAGAGCCTATAAATCTGTTGCTGCACCCTTCAGCTAAAACCAGAGCTGTATAGGCATCCAGTTTAAACTTTTTTTTTTTTGTGGCACAAGATGGTGAAAATGATCACTAAGTGAACTAGTTGTAGGGCGTCTCTCCTAGGGCGAGATATGCTCATAAATGAATCAAGATCTAATTCTTGTATTCAACAATATCTCGCCAAAGGAGAGTTGCCCTATAACTGATTCGACTTACTATAAATCTCTCAAAGCCCAATGTTTACAGTTCATTCAAAGGGTATGATACTTTCCTTTTTAATGTGGTTTTGTCTGAAATTTGCAGTATATATGTTTTTCTGCATGACAGCTCATAATCCTTTTTTTTTTCAGCAGTATAATATATATGGAAATTATATATCTTCATATCAGTTCATCTGTTAATTAATCTTCAAGCAAGAGCTCATGCGTCATGCTTTACCAACTGTTTCAGGGATGCTATATCACTGTTTTTATATGATTTTTAACGTGTGCTTCAAAGGAGTACTAAAACAACTCTAGGAGGAGACTAGGAATATAGTTATCTTCATATATATATATATATGACAAAATTTGGAATGATAATGGATTCAACATGCCTTACACTGTGCAAATCCACTGATTTTTACTGGGAAACTACATTCTAGAAACTGCATAATTAGCAGGAATTCACACCAGGTAAAGTCTTTTTCATGGGCTGTCAGGAGAGATCAGTTATGCAATCACCCTAACCAATACACAACGAAACATACCATAATTTTTCTTATTGTTTTACTTTCCAGCCTTCAAGGACAAGGAGACCAGTACAGTGCAAAGAGAAAAATA